ATTCTGCATATTTTCCTCAAATCCATCTCTCAATTTGCTAATTCTCTTTAGCTACATCTCATCTGCTAGTAAACCATCTACTGAATTTATAATTTGAATTATTTTTCACTTCTAGAAGTACTATTGGTTCTCTTTCAAATCTGTCTAGTCATTTTGTAGTATGTCTTTTTTCCTGAATATTACCATCAATGTTCTAATTTTAAAAACCATATAAACATATATATCATATTTCATACCTAATAATTCTAACAGTCTGGTGACTTGCTTCTTGGATGCTTGTGATCATTCACAATTAAGATCATGTCTACAAAACTTCCTTCAGTACTTCTTTATGGTCTAGGTAACAGTTCATTCTTTCAAAGAGGACTTACATTTGCTTTTCCTAGGCACCTGGGAATACTACCAACTCGGTACTACTGTAAACTAAATTCTTACCTATTTTTTTTCTTTGGGATCATACAAATGTGTACAAATTCAAGCTGCAAACCTGCACAATGCCTGGCTTTTGTTGTGAATGCTCAGGGAAGGCTTTTGTTTATTTTTTTAATTCTCTTCACCCAGAGCCAATGCTGAGGCAGAAAAATTTCCTCTGCGGCTCCCTTTGCAGGCTGCATTTTCTTACTTAGTCTTTTTCTAAGCAGTAGTCTTCTCTACTTCTTGGGAGCCTTAGATGATATCTCTCATACCAAGCATAAAAATGGGAAATCCAAAGAACTAGCTCACAATTTACTGGTAGATTTCCCCAGAATAACCTCTGCCTTCAGGGAGCTTATGCATTCTCTAGATTCCTGCTCCCACTTTCTTATTGGATTCCAAGGATTTTCCTTATTCTTACCAGCTGACCTATACCATCGAGTAGACTTTCTTTAGAGGCATTTTATCCAGCACTTTAGGAGTTTAAAAATGAGGGGGATTTTTCAGGATATGCAAGCTGTCATCTTATCAGAAAGAGAACATACACTGCCTTTCTGTTTCTACTTATGTATTTGGAATATACTGCCAAATATAAAATTGACAGATCAAGGAACAGAATTAGTTTCATGGGTTTTGTTACATGCTATAAAATTCAGTGATGAGGGTGGGGTGGGAGGGATGGGGTGACTGGGTGATAGACACTGGGGAGGGTATGTACTCTGGTAAGCGCTGTGAATTGTGCAAGACTGTTGAATCTCAGATCTGTACCTCTGAAACAAATAATGCAATATATGTTAAGAAAAAAAAAAGAAGAAGAAGGTAGCAGGAGGGGAAGAATGAAGCGGGGGAAATCGGAGGGGTAGACGAACCATGAGAGACGATGGACTCTGAAAAACAAACAGGGTTCTAGAGGGGAGGGGGGTGGGAGGATGGGTTGGCCTGGTGGTGGGTATTGAGGAGGGCACATTCTGCATGGAGCACTGGGTGTTGTGCACGAACAATGAATCATGGAACACTTCATCTAAAACTAATGATGTAATGTATGGGGATTAACAAAAGAATAAAAAAAAAAAAAGAATAGAGAATCCCATAAATAAATAAAAAAAAAAAATTCAGTGATGAAAATTAATTAATATCACATTTTAACAGTGGCTTGAGAAGATTTGTAGATTCCAAGTCTATTTTGCTTCAGAGAAGTTATCTAATAATATTAAATAAAAGTTTTTTGGTTTTGATGATATCTGGAATAAAACATGATCTTAGTCTGATTTGTACAACTTATCTTCTAAAAGAACAGCTACAATGTTGGTAAGGATGTAGAGATACTGCAACCCTCACACACTGCTGGTGGGAATGTAAAGTGGTGTGGCCACCTTAGAAAAAGTCTATAGTGGGGCGCCTGGGTGGCTCAGTTGTTAAGCATCTGCCTTCGGCTTGAAGGGTCCCAGGGTCCTGGGATCGAGCCCCCACATTGGGCTCCCTGCTCCATGGGAATCCTGCTTCTCCCTTTCCCACTCCCCCTGCTTGTGTTCTCTCTCTCACTGTGTATCTCTCTGTCAAATAAATAAATAAAATCTTTAAAAAAAAAAGAGAGAAAAAGTCTAGTAGTTCCTCAAGAAGTTAAACATAGAATTATCATCTGAAATGGCAATTCACTACTAATATATACCCAAGAGAAATTAAAACTTATGTTCACCCAAAAACTCATATGTGAACACTCAGAGCAGCATTGTTCATAATAGCTAAAAGGGAGAAACAACCCAGCAACTGATAAATGGATAAACAAAATGTGGTATATCCATACAGTGGGATATTATTAAGCCATAAAAAGGAAAGAAGCAGCGATCCATGCTACAACATGGATGAATCTAGAAAACGTTATGTTAAGTGAGAGAAGCCAGACACAAAAGACCACCAATTACATGATTCAATTACATGAAATATCCAGAATAGGCCAATAAAAAGATAGAGAAAATAGGTTAATGGTTGTTTAGAGCTGGGAGGATGGTGATCTTGGGAGGTAATAAAGGGTTCACAGTTTCTTTTTGAGATAAGGAAAATGTTCTAAAATTGGTTGTGGTAATGGTTGCACAACTCTGTAAATATACTAAAACCACTGATTTGTACACTTTAAATGGATGAATAATAAGGCATGTGATTACACTGCAATAGGGCTATCAGAATAAAAACCATGCAGATAAAACAAATTCTGTGGCTATAACATAAATTGACCTGAAAACCCTTCGACAAAACGGCACAATTTCCAAGGAAATCCAGTCACCGTACAATTGTGACCCCTTTTCTCCTTTGAGTTGATACTGCCTTTGAAAGAGGAAGCAAACGTAAGGATAAGAGACATGATTTTGGTATTCTGAAAGCATGATTTCTTAGGGATATGGTAGGGTGAGGCTAGTTTGCTTTAAAAATACATCTTTACAAATGATCTGAAGGAGAGAATGCACAGTAAAATCTCCCAAGCTGACAATTATACGATACTCTTCCTGACAATAAGACACTTAGTTGATGAAAATAAATCATAGGGTTTATTCGCTGGCAGCTGTAGAAGGTGGCTCTTACACAATATGCTAAACTACTCAGGAAAATTATGAAGAGCTTGCATGGCAAGGCCCTAGGCGTGAAGGCTCAACACCAAATGACCTAAAGACAAATTACATATACATGAGTATGGGAGGGCAGTGCCTGGGACTGATTTTGGAAGCCCAGGAGAAAGGATTTTTCTCCTGCTAGAAGGCGTGGCCCTTCGGAAATTATGGGCGGATACGCTCATATGAACAGCGGCAATCCCTCCTGTCAGGGGCTGGGAATCCAGGAAGGTATACAGGCCCCTGAGAGTGTGAAGCTAAACTCTAGTGGGGAAGAAGAATGGTCTATCCTTTGAGGCTGTCTCCCGACTTCCAGGAAAGAGACAACAGACCTGCTGAGGATGGGGGGGGACAAAAAAAAAGGAATTAAAATCCTCCTTTTCACTTCTACCTGGAGGATGAAAAATAAGAGTCTCGGGGCACCTGGGTGGCTCAGTCGTTAAGCGTCCGCCTTCGGCTCAGGTCATGATCCCAGAATCCTGGGATCGAGCCCCGCATCGGGCTCCCTGCTCGGCAGGAAGCCTGCTTCTCCCGCTCCCGCTCCCCCTGCTTGTGTTCCCTCTCTCGCTGTGTCTCTCTCTATCAGATAAATAAAATCTTTAAAAAAAAAAAAAGAAAAGAAAAAGAAGAGTCTCAAGTTCTCCCTGCGGTGTAACTGCAGAACAACAACATATTCCAGAGGGAGAGCAGAGGAGAGGAGGTGCACTCCTGGCAAGACCAGCTACGTAACTGGTGGGCCTGCTGCCAAATCAAAGTGTGGGGTGCCTTGTTCACGAATCATTTAGAATCTCAGAACAGTGACAGCAGAGCATTACACCTAACATGGGGCTCTTCTGAGTGTGGGGATGGCTGCAACTACATGGGCCATACGCCCAGGAGGCCCTGACTCTTGAGCAGCAAGAACAGCAGTAGCAAAAACTCAGGAGGCACAGAAGAAAGCCAAGATCATCGAAAAGCCTAACACCTGAGACAGTTAACATTTTAGTGTATATTCCAGAGAATTTCATATATACACATAGACTGTTGGCCCTGGAACAACATAGGTTTGAACTGCACGGGTCCACTTGTACATGGAATTTTTTGGATAAATACAGTACAGGACTGCAAATATATTTTCTACTTCTTACTATTTCTTAATAACATTTTCTTTTCTCTAGCTTTCTTTATTGTACGAATACAGTATAGAATACATACAACATACAAAATATGTGTTAATCGACTGTTTATGTTATCGGGAAGGCTCCCAGTCAACAGGACGCTATTAGTAGTTAAGTTCTGGGGGAATCAAAAGTTACCCACAGATTTCCAAGAGTGCAGGGGATTGGTGCCCGTGACCCTCTGTATTGTTCAAGGGTCAAGTGTACATGGAGACATTGATTCATACCATTTTTTATTTCACAGACATGGTATAGTGTACATTCTCTGCTGTAGCCTTTTTTTTAAAGCTTATTACAGTATGGAGAACTTTCAAAAATGTTAAATACAGACCATTTCATTCCAATTGTATAGATTATAGAACATAAAGATCCATGTTCCATTTAACCAAACTCATATTGGTAAGGTTTCTGAAGGGTCTTGGGTTTTTCATTATTAAACATGATGACCACTGGATATGAATAAAGTGGAATGAGGACTGAATGAGTTAAATCAGTATAAAGTATTTCACAGAGTACTTGGCAAGTCACAAGCTCTCTATAAATGTTAGTGATTTTAGTATTGTGTCCTATGTAAAGACTGAACTAATTTACATTCCCAACAGCAGGGTAAAAGAAACTGGTTTTCCTAAATCTTTGCCAATTCTTCCAAATTTTCCCTTTTGTATTTCTTCTATGAATCATTTGTTCGTGTTCTTTGACAGTTCTCCTATTGGATTTCTTATGCTTTTAAATTTTTAACTGATTTCCATATTAAGAATATGAGTCCTTTGTCATAAGAATAACAAACACTTTTTTTTTGGCTTAGAAAAATTTTTTTAAGACTTACCTCCAGTTCCTAGGACCTTGAGGAGCTCAAAATTTTCAATCCCCACCTTCTCTGCATGTCCTGTTAAATTAGCTAAAAAAAGAAAGAGAAAAAAGAAATAATTAAGGGGATCAGTAACAGGAGGGGGCCCATGGGGGCTTCTGAAATACCAGCAATGTTTTATTACTTGACCTGGGTGGTTAAGCCAGGGTTCATTTTATAATTATTTGTTAAACTATAGGAGCTATGTTTTGTGCAATTTTCTGTATGTCATATATTACAGGCAAACTTTTTAGAATTTAGTAGCTATATCATTTGTACCTGAAGTTAACATAAAAATAAAGTGTTAATAGACTCACTACTGATCAAGATAATCTGAAAATAAACACAAATTCCAATAAATAGCTAGATATGCAGTACAAAGAAAACTGGACAGATTTAGACAACATAATCATTAGTTAACAAATATGTATTGAGCGTCCACTAAATATCATCCCCAGCATCTAAGCTGGGTTCTACTCCCATTTCTTTCTTTCTTTCTTTTTGTTTTTTTAAAAATTTTATTTATTTATTTGACAGAGAGATAGAGAGCACAAGTAGGCAGAGAGGCAGGCAGAGGGAGAGGGAGAAGCAGGCTCCCTGCCGAGCAGGGAGCCCGATGCGG